GAGGGCCCCCGGCCCCAAAAGAAAAAAAAAGTGGCGCCGGGACCCGCCGGCCCAGGCCCCGTCTTCCACCCACTGACTCACGGCGCTGCCTGCGGGCCCCGCTGCCTCCCCCCTTCCTGGCTGCCTGCCCCTGCCTGCCTCCCCCGGGTGGGGATCCCCGGCTGGGGCGCAGGCAGGCCCCCACCTCTGCCGTAACGCTGCCCGCCCCAGGGCGAGCTCCCTGCTCTCCCCTGCCAGTGCCTTCGCGCACAGCGCGGTCGTCGCTCGCGGACGGCAGCGCCAGGCAGAGCGGGGCAGCTCCCTCGCCTCTGCCCGCCTCCCCTGGGCCGGAGCTGCCCCTCTGTCCCCCTCGCCCTGTCCTGGGCCGTGCCGGGCTGCGGCGGGGTGCTCTGCGCTGGGGGGGTGACGCTCTGCGCTGGCGGGAGCAGCTTTGGGCGGCCGCAGTGAGGCAGCACAAGCCCTCCCAGTTATCCTGCCCAGCCCCCGCGGCTGCCCCTGGACCAGTGCTCGGGGCGGTTTGGGGGTGCTGCCCCCCATGCCCGGGAGGGCTCTGGCTGTAACGTGCTTCCCACGGGCTCCTCGGGGAGCACAGAGGTTTCCTATAATTTTCTAAATAAAGCCTTTGACATTCCAGCCCCGCGGCTCTCCCTGGGGCCCAATGGGCCCGGAGCGGAGGTCCTGCCCTGGCCCTTGCCCTCATCCCCCTGGGGAGAGGTGACAGGGACAGCACTGGCCCCCACCTCTCCCCTGTAGGTGCGATCCCCACCCTAGCGGGGCTGGGGGCTGCCCGGGGCGCGACTGGCACTGGGGGTGCATGACGAGTGGGTTTATTGTAGGGCCCCGGTGCCCCCTGTGGTGCGGTGGCTGCTCCGGCCGGGGCTGTGCCGCGGGGCTGGGGTTGAGCGTGGGGTGCTGGCTGCGGCGGTGGGGCGGGCGGGGGTCCCTGCTCACCAGCAGAGCTGCCCAGGGCAGTACTTGTCGATCAGGGACTGGTAGTAGCCCCGGAGCTGCTGCACGTCGGGCAGCTCCTCCTGCTTGGTGTAGAGGTCGAACTTGCTGCGGGAGCGAGGGCTGGTCAGGGCTGGGGGCTGCAGCCCCCCACCCCTCCCCGGGGCCTCGGCCGAGCCCCCCGGCCACGCACTTGAGCTCCCGGACCCAGGGCAGCATGCGGAGGTCCTCCTCGGTGCAGAGGTGCCGGTAGTCCCCGTGCGTGTGCCAGGGGTAGAAGGAGTGGAAGCGAACCATGTAGAAAGCCTGGGGGGCCGGGGACGTGCCAGCCTGGCTCGGGGCGCCCGCCCTCCCCGCGGCCCTGGGGGGCCGCCCCACGTCTCCCCCAGCCCTTACCTCCTTGGGCAGGGCGAAGTTGTTGAACTTCATGACTCTGTACATGTACTCTGGGAAGAGAGGGGACGTGCGGGGACGGCGCTGGACCCCTGTGCGGGACGGGTGCCCCGAGAGCCCCCGTGGCCCCTCTGCCCCATGCGAAGGGCTCCAGGCCTGAATCCCCCAGCAAAGGGGGCCGGGGGGGCCAGGCGCAGCCACCCCAGGGTCTCAGGTGAAGGGTCCTGCCCCGAGGAGGGGACCCCGGCCGGCCCCCCCGGCCTTACCGTCGTGTCCCCAGGACATGAGGACGTTCTCCAGGCCGCAGCGGGGCTGGTACATCCCGTACTCAGTGCTGGGGACGGAGCCGGGTCGGGGGCTGGGGGCTGGACCCCTTGCCGCAGCCCGGCCCCTTCCCTGGCTGTGAGGTGGCTGGGGGGGCACGGCCCCCCAGGGCGCCCCGCGGGGGTCCCGCCTCACCTGTACCGGGGGTCTCTGATGTCGGGGTTGTCATGGAAGGTGGAGTCCCTGAAGACCACGGACTTCTGCACCTTGCAGCCCACGGGGAAGGTGTCCCCCACCACGGCCCACTGCAGAGGGGTGCGACAGGCGTCCCACCGGCGTCCCCCGTGCCCCGGCCTGCCCCCTCCCCGCCGTCCCGCTCACCTGGGGCTCCCCGAACAGCGCCAGGACCTTCCCCAGGTCGTGCAGCAACCCCACCAGGTGGAACCAGTCTGGGGGCGAGCAGGGCCGTCACCCCCCCTCGGGACGTGGCCCCGCAGGGGCTCCCCGTCGGCGGGGGGGGGGGGGGGGGGCCCGCGCTCTGCGG